AAATGGAGCAGTCTGGTAATCATATCTTTCTGATGACTCATTTGTTCCCACTGCAGCTCTCTAGACGAAACCGCCTATGAAAGACTAGCAGAGGAAACACTGGACGCCTTGGCWGAGTTTTTTGAAGACCTTGCAGACAAGCCCTGTACACTGGAGGACTATGACGTCTCCTTTGGGGTATAGCTTGGCTTATTTTAATTTTTCTGTTTCTCCRTAAGAATTTTAATTTATGGAAGTAAGAAAGCCTCTGCGGCAGAGTAAAGCACAAGCAGCATAGAGTAATGGGAAGGACCCAAAGACCTGTAGGGTTCAGTGACACAACCCAGCCCTACCACTGACTCTGGGCCAGTCACCCTGCCTCTCCRAGCCTCATTTCTGGTTAAAAATATACAGATTTCTAGAGCCATAAAAAATATTAATATAGATCCCCAACCTTCACCTAATACCCATAAAGTAAATAAGGGAGGMGGCCTGGGCATGTGTTTGTGTAGCAGGTCAGCAGGGACAGTACTGAACTAGACCACCAATTCTTTTTTGTTGTTGTTATTACAGGGGATGGAACCCAGGGGTACTCTAGCACTGAGTTATGCCCCCAGCCCTTATTTATTTGCTTGTTTRTTTGAAGATGGTCTTGCTAAGTTGCTGAGGCCAGCCTCAAACTTGTTATCCCCCAGCCTCAGCCACTGGGATTACAGGTGTACACTCTAGACAGCTAGTCCTTAAGCAGGGATAATTTTTGACAATGCTGGGAATGGAACCCAGAGCTTTATGTGTGCTAGGCAAGAGCTCTACCACTATGCTACATCCCCACCTCCCAGGTAAATTCTATTCTGCAGTTGGTTTGAGAACTGAATTGGATGAAACTTTAGCCCCAGATCCTAGGAGTCAAGGAAGTGCTGGTGTTTATTTATTGGCCACCAGGTGGCAGACTTAGTCAACAGTCTGCTTTTGGGTTTAGAATTGTTAGCCTTTAGATCTCTTTTGCCATTGGGAGAAAAATCTCCCCTCCTCCTCTTCTCCCAGCCCCCTCCCCACTCCCTCAGAGGCAGCGGTTAATCCTCTTGACAGCAATTAATTAATAGCAGGAAATGTCACGAAGTGTACATTTTTTGATTCAATCATAGGATTATGTAGGACAATCAACTGTCAAATTGAAGTGGTAGRAATGATGTTCATGTTGCTATAAGGCCACTAGGTAAAGAAGAGACTCCGTAAGATAGAACAGGCAGCAAAGTCTTGGAAAAGCTGTCAAGCCTGAGAGTAGTAAAATGAAGTAAACCAGYAGTAAAGGAGGGATATCTTCTAGGTGGGCTCAGAGATTGCTATCAGCAACAGCAGGGAGGTGCTTTATGAAGCTCGGGGTGTGGCTCAGTGGTTAAGTGCTTGCCCAGCATGAGTGAGGCCCCAGGCTTAATCCCCAGCACTGCTAAAAGTAAATAAATAAATAGAAATTAAAAACTGCTCATGAAGAGATCCCCCATAGGGCTGAATTGCTTACAGCCTAGCTCACCGCCTGACCATCCAGGAAATGATTTTAGCATTGGAAAAATTTCAGGCTTCCTTTCCCCAGACTCCCCACCAGGGGCTGAAACAAGTTCTCAGACTACACTCTGCTCATGTGTGCAAATATTGATTAACAAGCCACAAAAGCAGTCATGCAACCTGTTCTCACAGAATTAGCAAAGCCCCAGATTGACCCAGGTATTTTGCATGAATGTTTCATTAGAAGTAAATGTGGCAGGGGCCAGGACTATAGCTCAGTGGCAGAGCACTTGCCTAGCATGTGTGAGGCACTGGGTTCAATCCTCAGCACCACATAAAAAAAATAAATAAACATATAAAATAAAGGCATTGTGTCCATCTACAACTCAAAAAAAAAAAAAAAGAGAAGAAGAAGAAGTAAATATGGCAGCAAGCCTGGGTGCACGTCTGTAATCCCACTGGCTCAGGAGACTGAGGCAGGAGGATTGCAAGTTCAAAGCCAGCCTCAGCAATTTAGTGAGCCCCTAAGCAAGTCATTGAGACCCTGTCTCAAAATGAAAAATAAATAGAGGGCTGAGGGTATGGCTCCATGATTAAGAGCTTCTGGGTTCCATCCCCTGTATCAAAAAAAAAAAAAGAACAAAAGAAGTAAATGTGTCGTTGGTTGGGGATTTAGCTCAATGGCAGAGCACTAAGCACATGCAAGGCCCTGATTCCAACCCTGGCACCAAAAAGGGAAAAAAAAAAAAACCAACAGCAAATGTGCCAGCATTGTAGTGGCTAGACTAGGTTTGCCTCATTGAATCAGTTTGAATCAGGTGTCCAAACTTCTACTCAGTGGTGAGTCACAGAACCTTTAAGAATCCTACTCTCTGTCTCTCTGAAGAGCATTGGCTGCTRTACCTACCAGATTCTATCACCCTTTCCTGCAAGGGAGTGGTGCCTTACATTTTTCTAGCCAATCCTTATACCTTGAGCATCACCCTGCTCACCAGGAAACAATTTTTTTTTTTAATTTTTTTTAGTTGTAGATTGGACACAGTACCTTTATTTTATTTATTTATTCTTTATGTGGTTCTGAGGATTGAACCCAGTGCCTCACGTGTACTAGGCAAGTGCTCTACCACTGAGCCACAACCCCAGGCCAGGGAAAAATTATTTCTAACAAATTACTCATTAGCAAACCCTCAACTGTATATTTAGAAAGGTAAAGGTATTTAGTGGCTGCCTCTGTAGTCTGAACTTATAAATATGTTGAAATGCTCCCTCCCCACCCTGTGATATGAATTCCTGATCACAGTCCTTCAGATGCAATCTTATGTATTTCCTGTATTAAGTAAATTAACTGAAACTACACTGTAGACCATAAAACACCCATAACACTATTACCTGAGCTTTTTGGAATGGAGCCTTTTTCTGCCCTTGGGGTCCATCTGCAAGTTATCTTCTTTGGAAAGCCTCCTTTCTACTTTTACTACTCTCAGGCTTGACACCTTTTCCTGCAGAGATACTCCCTGCACATAGCACCCTCACTTCCTGAGGTGTTTTTTTTGTTGTTGTTGTTGTTTTGTTTGTTTGTTTTTGATACCAGGGATTGAACACAGTGGTGGTTAACCACGGAGCCATACCCCCAGTCCTTTTTTATCTTTTATTTTGAGGTAGGGTCTCTCCAAGTTGGTTAGGACTTCACAAAGTTGCCAAGGCTGGCTTTGAACTTGTGATCCCCTGCCTCAGCCTCTGGAGTTGTTGGCATTTTAGGCATGTGCCACCATACCCAGCATAACTATGCTCTTAAGACTAGTCTGAGCACCTTGGCAAGCAGGACTCTGTCCATTCTTTGATCCCAATGCCTAGAACAGTACTGAATACACAATAGGGGTTTAATAAATGTTAGTTCACTTTTTAAATAAAATATGGCCCACATACTTTTCCAAAATATACTTTTATTATGCCACTCAGCATTTACGGGTCTTGTGCCAACTTACTGCTGGCCAAGTAGACAAAGCAATGATTCAGATTCCTCAAAAACATCTCTTCTTCAGTTTCCTCTCTGTGGGGTGAGCAGCTTCTTGGCTGGCATGTCATCTGATCAGATAATGGGTAATGTCAGTGTCTGGGTCCAGGCCTCACCCCTTGTTGGTCATTAAAGGGACACCCCACCAGAGTTGAAAGCACCTCTTGTCACTAGGTGACTACTGAGTTTGCCACACTTGACTGGGTAAAATGTGACTACAGACTGTTTAGAATTGCYAAAATAGAACTAAATGTGGCAACACATGCGGTAATCCCAGCTGCTTGGTAGACTGAGGCAAGAGGATTGCAAGCTCAAGGCTGGGCAAGACACAGTCTCAAAATAAAAAGGGCCAGAGAGGTAGCTCAGTTGAACAGTTCTTGCCTGGCATGTGAAGGCCCTGGTTTCAATTGCCAGCACCACACACACACAMAAAAAAGATTGTTATATTGGTAAATTTGATGATAATAATTAAATTAAAAAACAAAAACTGGTGGCAGCTACCTGAGAATGAAGATTGTGTCACAGGTTAATGGGAAGTTGTGGGAAGACTAGTGTTTTTGGACCCAGCCACCCTGGATGTAAGGCCAGCTCTGGCAGTTACTGGTGTTCTTTACCTCTGTAAACCCCTGGTTTCCTCATCTATAGAACTGGGATAATGATTCCCACCTCCAGTGCTTATGTTCTAGTTGTAAGCAATTTCCCGTAGTGCCAAACAGAGACTGGCAGAGAGTAGGGAGAGTAAATAGTAGGTAATATTTCTATTTATGTTCTCATTTTCCATAAAATTTGCATTCCCAGTATTGCTATCGTTTTTATTTCTCTCTCTCTCTCTCTCTCTCTCTCTTTCTTTCTTTATTACTGTGGATTGAACAAGGAGCACTGTACCATTAAGCTACATCCCCAACACTTATTTATTTTTTGAGACATGGTTTTTCTAAGATGCTGAGAGGCTCACCTTGAACATGTGATCCTCCTACCTCAACCTCCCAAATCACTGGGATTACAGGCATGTGCCACCATGTCCACCTATATGATTCTTTTTTAATTAAAAACAAATTATAAAAACAGGGCTGGGGTTGTGGTTTAGTGCAGAGCACTTGCCTCACACATGTGAGGCACTGGGTTCGATCCTTGGCACTAATTTAAAAATAAATAAACAAAAATAAAGTTATGTGTCCGTATATAACTAAAAATATATTTTTTTT